GGAAACTGGTCAGGATGAAGGAGAGAAGAATAAATTTTTAATTTTTTAACTAAAAATATTTATATGGGTAGTCCAAGATCAGCTGTTGTTTTTGTAAGGTTGTTTATTTGTTTTGTTTGTTTGTTTGTTTGTTTGTTTGTTTGTGACAGGATCTATTTTCATAGCCCTGGCTGTCATGGGACTGACTCTGTAGACCAGGCTGGCCTCAGACTCACAGAGATCCACTTATCTCTGCCTCCCAAGTGCTGGGATTAAAGGTATGCACCACCATGCCTCCAAAATCAGCTATTGATAATGAGTCTTTTCCAGAAATGTAATATGCACTTTATGCAAGGACCCCACCCCCATCCCTGCCAAGAAAGCAAAGAGCACATACGTCATACCATACACATGAAGGGGGTCCATTCACACAGGGAGGGTACATTGCAGCTCCACCTACAGGGAAGACAGTGCATCTACACACGTGGGCAGGGGAGCAGCAGGAAGCACGGTCCAGTTGTAAAGGAGCCTGGGAAAATTGAAGGCAATATCCATGGGAGGAGTTGGTAGCAGAATTATGGGGGCAGATCCAGAAAGAGATGGAGGGAAAAAAGAGTGTAAGATCTCTAGAACAGGACTTATCCACTCCAGCGGTCAGAAGTGTGACAGTTTCATGTACCCTGGCACCACATGCACCCGTGCCCACTCTTGATGCGACACTCCTGCGGGGACCTAGTAGAGGGCCACTGCTGCTACTGTTTTGTCTCATGCCTCTGCCAGACCCCTGCTGTAGCCTCAGTCCTCCAGTAAAGTAGCAGTAGGGGCCACTGGGGTGGAAGCTGTCAGTGACTGAGACTGAGGATTTTACCCTGGCTCCCCAGAGATCAGTACCAGACAATCACTCTTCTCATTGTGAGATTTTTGTACAGGACAACAAGTAGGGAGGATTTCCTTCAGTGGCTTTTCATAAAGTTCTTATTGAAGGAGGTAAGCCAGGAATTTTGACAGATGTTCTGCAAGTTCCATCTTTTATTCTGTAGCTTGTAATGATTCCCTTTCATCCTCCCTCCCTGGGCTGTCCTGCTAGGCTGGTACCCCACACACTTCACTGGATTCTATCAGCCCCCTCCTGTTAAGAGAACAAGAAAGAAGAGAGATGAAATGGAGAGGGTACTGGAGAACCTGGTGTGCCGCTCTGCCTCCGAGCAATTCCACAGCCTACTACCGTCTAGGAAGTTTGTTCTTTATAAATAGCATTGATTAATCAGGTGTGTGAATGAAGAAATAAAACTGTGTGTGTACAAGAAATAGAGCCTTTGTCTGTGCTCCCGAAAGTATTTCATGATTTGCAGCTACACATAAAAGTTATCTCAAAGGTCACTGTGATTTAAATGTTCTCTCGTGTGTATTTTAGAAACCTATCACCATAGCAATTTGTTAGGCACTGCTTAAAGTGAATTGGCCTTTGTCTCCTGAAATGTGGTAGTTGTTTTATTCATGCAGAAGCAATTTGTCTGTGCATGCAGGACACTGATTCTGTCCTGTTTGCAGACATAATATATAACCAGAGAAAAGTTCCATATTACCCAAGAAACCCCAATCAATGCATTATAAAGTGTTAGAGGTATGTATATTCATGTATACTCGCAGACAGGGAGGTAGGGTTTCCTTGGCTGTACTGTACCTCAGCTACAGACTATTCTTCATCATTGAATTTTCAGGTAAATGTACAATGGGAAAATCTGCCCTTGTTGAAATGGCTTCAACTTACCCATTTTGGTTACACTCTAATTTGTCGCTAAGACATTCTAGAGGTGCCAGTATGTGCAGACTCTCAGATGGTCACATGTTACTACAGTAATATCACTGAATCAAATGAAAATGTAAAAAATTAGTGGGCTTTCTGCAAGAAAAATTCAGTTAGGATGATTCATTATCCTAACACAGGAGTTATGTTTTCTTCCTTTTCTGCTCACTTGAGCATAAATTTCAGGCTGTTCCTTTTAATTAGAATGTTCTGGAGCACCCCCAGACAGAGTTGTTAAATTAATAGGCTGACAAGCCAAGGACGGGCAAGTTTCTGCACAGAGCCTTACTAACCTAAGGCAGAAGTGCATTGCTTTTGAAAAATGCATATTCCAGATGGGTAAGGAAGGCATTCTTGTCAGAACAACCTAAGACAGGCTCAGTCTTGTTAATGAATTAAAAAAGAGGGAGAGGAGTAGAGCCTTTGGGGGCTGCTTGGCAAGAATCTGACATGGGCCAAGGACAAGGTAATGGGCTGCTTGGCAGAAATATGACATTGGCCAAGGACAAGGAAGAAGGCTTCAGGCAGGAATCTAAGTATTCATCTAGAGCAAAGAAGTAATTTCAGACAGGAATCTAAATTTAAGGCTCGAACAAGGAAGTAGGCTTCAGACATGAAAATGACTTTGGGCTAGGACAGGGAAGTTGGCTTAGATATTTTGGTCATCCTGATAAGCCCTTAGAAACAGTGATCATAGGAGTGTTCATGGAATTCTGTTTATTTATTGCTTTGCTTGTTCCTTGACTATTTGCATCTATTGTACTGCTAGTCCCACAACCTAGAACTGACCGTAGTACTTGCATGTAATTAAAATGGTATAAAAGCAAAAAGGAGGAGGGGGAAAGAGGAAGTGGATGGGATAGGGGGTTCTAGAGAGGGGAAATGAGGAAAGGGGATGACATCTGAAATGTAAATAAATAAAATATCCAGAAAAAGAAGAAGAAGAAGAGGAAGAGGAAGAAGAAGAAGAGGAGGAGGAGGAAGAATAATGTTCTGGAGCTAACCAAATGGGTGTAGTTTAAGTATGGCCTCTCTTAATCACAGATCATATTGGCCTGGTGTGCTCCTCTATTCTCAGCATGTCTAACAATAAGCATGTTTAACAATTTTTACGAATTACAAAATAACAATTACTGACCACTAACCTGAGCACTGTCAGAGTATTAAGGTGAGAACAGAGTGAAGGTCCATATGGAGCACAGTTTCCTCGATGGGTGAGCACATGGCTGCGTGGAGACTGGAACCAAGTTCTTTCCCAGCTTGGGTCCTACTTCCTGATCTGTCAAGTGGAGGTGAACAGTGCTTCCCATTGAGTGGAGGAGCAGTGAATGCAGGAGCATCCCTGGGAGCCGAGCAGGGATCCTATGCCTCCTCTGTGGTTCCTCATACACTGCTTTCTGCTGAGGGAGTGTCCTCATCACAAGACTTTCTCTGAAAATGATTTGCTGGGTACCCAACATCAGCTCACTGAAAACTCCTCTTTGACAGTGAAGCCACACCCCTAGTAGACCGTGGTCTGTGGGTGTGTAGACAGACACACCAACATAGCTCTAAGGAAAATAGGCTTGAGAAGCTAGGGGGATAAACAGTGGCATGGAAAGAAAATGGCATCTTTGCAAAACATGTGTCTAGAAAACCAGTGAGATGTAGGCTGAGATGTAGATACTCACCGTCACACCTGACAACATGAGTTCTTTCCCCAGGACCCAAAGGCTCTATGCCTCTCCTCCTTTTTTAACTCTTGCAAGTTGTCTTGTGACCTCCACAGTTGTCCCATTGGGCACATACATGTGTATGTATACACACACACACATGCCTAAATAAATAAAAATAAATTAAAAAATTTAAAGTTGGGTATTATGTACATACATATACCTGTATAATAAACATTTCCTACTGCCCTGGCTAAGGCGTATTAATCCAAATAACCATATGTTTTCTTGATTTGAGGTGCCTGAAATCTTTATTGAAGACTTTAAGAACCTCCCTCAAAATATGTCCATCCTCATACCAACATGGTAAAGTACCCATTGCTTCAGATGCTCTGCTACACAGTGGTGCAGTCCCAATTAAATCCCACATGAGGAAATCAGACATCAGACCACAGACTTGAAGAGAGTCAGGTTCCAGGCCTTCCTTCTGCACACATCAGCCTGGCTGCTGGTAGGCCTTGCTCCTGACAGGGAGGCTGTGTTTCTTACTTGAAGTGCTGTTAGAGACTTTCCAGATTCTGAAACAGATGTAGCTATCCTGGAGAAAAAAGACAGGTCTTACCTTGACATTCAAGTGTATTTCTTAGTCTCTTCATACACAAATGGAAGGTAATTTTACACGGTTTCAGTACACATGCATTTTGATGTCGTGTATAGAAGTTTCTGGTGTGACATCATGTCAACACTCAAAAAAATCAGATTTGGGGATCTTTCTGGTTTGGGATTTTGACACCGGGAATACTCAGCCTCTCCACCTCTCCAGGGAAGGGATTTTTTTTTTTTTAATTTTATCATATTTTTTTTATTGGATATTTTATTTACATTTCATATGTTATCCCCTTACCCCATCCCCCACCCACCCGGGAACCCCCCATCCCCTTACCCCTCCACCTTCTTCTCTGTGGATGTAACCCCCACCTACCCCCCCACTTCCCCACCCTCAAAATTCCCACCCCCTGGGGCGTCCAGCCTTCATGAGGTCAAGGATCTCTTCTTCCACCTGTGCCCGGCAGGGCCCTCTACTCTTACATATTCAGCTGAAGCCCTGGATCCCTCCATAAGTGCTCCCAGGCTGGTGGTTAGGACCCTGGGAGCTGTGGTTGGTTGGTATTGTTGCTCTCCTCATGGGGCCACAAACCCTTTCAGCTCCTTCAGTCTTCACTCTAACTCCTCCATTGAGAACCTCATGATCAGTTCAATGGCTAGTTGTGAGCATCTGCCTCTGAATATGTCAGACTCTGGCAGATCTCTAAGGAGACATCCATATCAGGCTCTTATCAGCATGTACTTCCTGACTTCCACATCAGCATCTACCTTTGGTGACTGCATATGGGGTGGATACTCAGGTGGAAAGGTCTTCAAATGGCCCCTCCTTCAGTTTCTGTCCCTCACTTTGTCTCCATGTTTGCTCCCTTGAGTATTTTGTTGCTCCTTCTAAGAAGAACTGAATCACCCCCACTTGGTCTCAGGGAAGGGATTCTAAACGTGTTTTCTCTCTGCAGGAAGACCAAGTCCTCTAGACCCATGTGATCTCCTATGAAGAACTGACCCCACCTGCTGGTCATCCCAGCCCCCATCATGGGACCTGCAGGAAGTGCGCTGAGCAGTGGGCAGATGCAGATGGCCCTGTGGGGAAGTCTGGCTGCTGTGGCCATGTTCTTCCTCATCGCCTTCCTCATCCTTCTGTGCTCCAGCTGTGACAGGTTAGAACAAACACACATGTCTAAAGCCTAACCTGCTGTTTTCCCTGTGCCCAACGGAGCTCTGTAGTAAAAGTCCCCCTGGCCCATGGTCATGGGTTGGTTACAAAGGACATTTTTCATCAGTCAATTGAAAATCCTCATTGATCTTCCTGGAGAGCAAAGCAAAGATCCATCCTATTTTGAATGTCTGGAATAAATTCTTGCTGTTCTTTGAGCACAGTGTTTGTGTGCTGTCCTTTTCTGGCGGTGAGGACATAGAAATCTAAGTGTGAGGTAGTACATCCTGTCGGCACGATGGGCAGGCACTGAGGGTGCTCACTATCACGTGGCTTGGGAGAGCTCGTGTGTTATTAAAACTGTGTGTGATGAACTGCCCTTTCTGAACAAACAGCCTTGTTTTTCCTACAAGACAGACTGACTGAATGTGGAAGCCTTTTTTCTTTTTAAGCATTATACCTGTCTCCTTCACTCAAGGAGAAGTGGAGTTCTGTGTAACCAAGGCTGATTGCCCAGGACAGTCAGAGATGGTACGGGGTGTGCAGCCTTCTGGTATTGCTGGGACCCACTGGGGGACCAGCTTAGCCAGCTCCGTACTCAACTCTCTCAACCTGGGAAGAAAGCTGATAATATTTAAAATTCTGATGTGGATCCCACCCTGAAATCTGTCAAGAAGAGAAAGCCAGGCTCTCTGGCCTTATGCAGCCTCCCCTAATCCCTGCCAAGCATGGACCCAGGCCTTTAAGGACAGGACAAGCCTAGAGACACTAGTCCTAGCTCCCATGAGCTTAAAGATTCTGCTGCTGTAATGACTCACTGTGCCGCTAGGTGTCACCCTCTCCTCGCCACAGACAGAAATGTCGTCTTAACAACCAATGGCTCTCTTTAAACTGTTCTATGTAAAAACACATTCTATTTTTACTCAGCAGACTGGAAGTACCTATGACTCATCCTGAGAGCTTGCCACCTCCCTGATGTGCCAAAGTAGTATCTCCTGTATTTCCTCCCGTCCCTTACAGCACGTGACTCCACAGACTCTTAAGGGAGAAGATGAGGTTATTGTTAGGATTTGCTAAAGAAAAAAGGTGGTGCCTGAGCATTGTAGGCACAGACAGATCCTGCTTGCAGGCTGCTGTCTCCTGTTGGGAACTTGGCCCTCCGGGAAGGGCTGTGCCTGTGCTGACGGTTAGGACTTTTTCCTGCTCTCTTAGCAAAATGAACGTAGTTAATAAACCCGAGAGGCAGAGCCAATAGACGTTAGGCTAGGGACGTGTGGTGTCCACTAGGGAAGCATGGTGTCCGCTAGGGAAGCATGGTGTCCGCTTCACTTTAGGGGACATATTTGACATCTGAATGGTGTTTTCTTTTCCATTGCAGAGAGAAGCCACGGCAGCATAGTGGGGACCATGAGAACCTGATGAACGTGGTAAGCCTCAGTGTGTCTGTCCGAGTACACCTCTCTAGGCATGACGCTGCTGACAACTGAAGCTGGCATGTGGACGTAACAGACATTAGCTGTGGCTTTCTGTATTCTCTATGTACGGCTGGGAGCCTGGCTTGACCAGTGTTCAGGGAAGCTTCTGGAGCAATAGCAGTCGCTGGACTGCCTGAGAGATTGTTACGGGGCTCCAGCCTGCTGCAGAGATGTCTTCATGTCTCTCCTGGTCTGCAAGGTTGTCACAAGGAACAACTGGACAATTCAAATAAGATTTCTTGTTTCTCTGCTCTGTCCAGCTTCCAGTGTTGCTACGTGAGCTTCCTGAGCTGGATCTGTTCTCAAGCTTGGCTCCTTAGTGCTTAGTGCACACACAGTCCTTGCCATCACCTTCCCACAGCCTTCTCCTCTACCCTCATGTCACCTTTCCCTCTCTGAGTGTATGTCCTTAAGGCCAAGCCCTCTGCTTTCATAATGATAGCAAATACACCCCACTCTGGCCTCAGTCTTAACTATGCCATCTGAAATGGCCCTGCTTTCAGATAGGGTTAGTCTGTGGCACTGGGGACTGAGATTTGGCTTTCATCTAGGTGGAACTGCAGCCATTCATCAGCACCTGGGGCCCACAGCACAGCTTGGCCTCCGTGCATAGCCAATCATCAACATTGATAGGACCCTGATGGACCCAACAGTCTCACAGAGCAAGCCATCCACCTGGCTAAGGACTAGCCTGTCTGTGTTGTGCCCTTAAGTGGCAGCACAGTCTCAGCAGCTGTGTCCACAGGGCACAGTCCCCTCTGAGCCCCAGGGCAGTTCTAAGAGAGAAGGCACTTCCTGCTCAGAGGCAGAAAACATGTATGAATTAAAGTCTGAGGGATTCTGTGTTATTTGCAGCATCCAGCAGGCATGTTCAGAGAACATGCATGAGGTACCAGGCTGCCTGACCCCCACTTTCAATGTGCGTGTAGCCCAAGCAGACAGGCAGGTGTCAGGGTTCCCAGCTCCCCCTAGACCCCAGGGCTCTCCTCCTTTGTCTGTGTGAGCCGCCATCCTCACCCCTCAGCAGCTCTCCTGCTCTAACTGACGTTCTCTCCCGATTTTCACCTCTTATGCTGTCTCCACTCCTTGTTCCCAGCATCTCCATTCTCTCCAGTGATTGCTGGTGTGACCGGAGGGGAGGTGGAAGGGTGGGCCCTGTCTTTCTTCATGTCCCACCTTCCTCAGTCAGGTGGACAGGAAGTTTTGGCTGAACTCCGGCCTCATTTCCTCCTAGAACAGGGCTTCTCGGGCATGGCTAGACCCGGCAGCTCTACCTGGGTACTGAATGAATGAAGCCAGTGTTCAGAGGTGGGACCGAGCTTTCCAGGTCACTCTGAGACATGAGTGCCATCATTCTTGATCTTCTGTCCCTGTTATGCTACCCAAGGGCAGCAGCATCTGTGGGCAGGGAACATGCAGCGGGAAAGCAGAGAAAGCCGCCTCTTCATTCCCTTCCCCACATAGGGTCTCCTCCACAGGCCTCCACGACACAGCAGTGTCCACAGGACGCATGCTCACAGTGCCGGCGATTCCTGCACACAGCCGCCCACTTAGCTCCTGAGTTCCTAGGTCATTCAGTCTGCCGACTTGTTCCTCATAGGAGCTAAGTAGGGAAACAGTGGTTCAAACAGAGATTATAGAAGTCTGGCTATGACATGTCATACAGGAATCCTTCCCTTCATCTCCATTTCTGTCCCCTAAGGACACTACTTCTCCAATATTTTTCCAATATCAGGTCCTGGCAAACCCCCAAGCAGCCATGTCATAGCAGCGGATGTGAGCAGTATCAGGCGAAAGAGCAGATTTCCCAGGTACTGGGACATCACTACACATCTAGTGCAGTTTATTGTCTGTTATTATTTGATTTCCCATCAGAGTCAGTAAGTTTGTGAAGCCAACAACCCAAGACTTCTGTGCAAGTTACATCAGAAATTTCCCCGTGTTATCCTGAAACCTGGGATGTGTCTTGGGCAGCAGAAGCCATGAATGTGAAAAGGATGGGGTCCAACATGTTAGAAGGAATGCATTCAGAGGCAGGGGCAGCTAGTGCCTGCTGCCCCGTGAGAGCTCTACCTGTCATGTTGTTCCAGGTGGTCTACACAGCACCAGTGCCCCAGAGGAACACACAATCAGGACTTCCAAGTGCCTGTGTATTTTTGAGAATAGGAAAGATTTGCAAAGCAATTATTCAGTAGGTGAGCGTTTTAGGAAAGCCCTGAAACAGACTCAGAAATATATGACATTAAATGCTGTGCTGACCAGATGTAAGTCTCTCCCTATCAAGAGACAGCAGCTATACTTTGCTGTTTATTTGTTTGTTTGGCATCACCTGTGTTTCAGGGATGGCATTGGTCCCTGCTGGGCTCTGTTCTGACACACACAATAATCTGTGGTTTCCTTTTCCCTTGAGCTAGGGAAACACAATGTATCTGTAGCCACCTGTCACCACCAGGTAACATTGGAGCCTGGAGCTTCAGGAGACTGCAGTGCCCTGAGAGTCCAGAGCCACACTGAGGAAGTAAGCTCAGCCATTCTCCACTGGTGAGAACGGTCCCCACCCTCCACACTTGAGTGTGTCTAGTTATCCAAGGGGTTCAGTTTAACCGTTCTGCTTTTATCTAATTTAATCAATGGACCCTGCCATTTCTTTGGCTGCTTTGATTTTCGGAGTGTCCTCTGGTGCCCAGCAAATTCTTACCAAAAGATGTGTTTGAATTTTTCAGCCTTCCGACAAGGAGATGTTCAGCCATTCGGCAACCAGCCTGACAACAGATGCACTGGCTAGCAGCGAACAGAACGGGGTGCTCACCAACGGCGACAGTAAGTTCTGCAGGGGAAGCGCCTGGGAGGACTAGGCTTTGAACAAGGTGCTTGCAAGCTGCGGTGATGACTTGGTGGCCAAGAGCACTGCTGCTCTTCCCCAGGATTCCGTGCACCCATGTGGCAGCTCCCAACTGTCTGTAACAGCAGTTGCAGGGGAGCCACACCTTCCTCGGGCCTCCACATGCACCAGGCATGTGAGCGGCGCAGAGACATACATGTAGACAGAACCCTGGGGATGCATTCTGTCCCGGTCATTATCACTACCAGCCAAAGGTCTCATTTGCATAGTGACACCTAATCTGTTTGGTGGCTGCTGGGTGCCAGGAACCCTCTTGGAGTGCCCTGTGATTCCCTCCACTGTGCCCATCCACAGGCGGCACTAAGTCCCCAGGTTAAAACAGAGGACTCTAGCGCCGGGCTACTAGATCAGGTTACCACAGGCTAATGTTGGAGGGGCAGGAGTGACTTACAGCTGTCAAGGCCGTGAGTCTGGGGTGCCTGCAGCCCTGCTGGGGGCTGATGGAGAATCACTCTGTTGTCCTCTGCGCCTGCCTGTATCCCTTCACGTGTTGCGTCTCCCAAACCTTCAGGTCTCTCACTGGCCTTACTCTTCCACACTTCAGACCATGTAATCTCTATGGCTTGTCTAGGTAACCCAGGTTTCCCTACCCATCCCAAGGTTAGCTGATTACACGTGGTGGCACCCATACACACAGTTGCTGTGTCATACAGCATATAGTTTCCAGAGACTAGGATGCAGACATCTTTGGGAAACCAAATCCTTGTCACACGGTCATTAATAATCTGACTGACGCTTGTTATCACAGACTTTGAGGATCTGTAACTTGAAGCAGGGTGCTCAATTCTAGGCCAGACACATAGTCTAGGGCAGACATGTCATGTCACACAGTGGACACTGACTGGCGGGTGTAATTGCCATCTTCGCTCCCTGCTTTGCAGTGTGTGACACGTATTCACCCAAAGCAAGAAAGGAAACTCAGGGGTGGCACCCAAAGCCTCGGCCACCAGTGCCCCTGTGTTCTGACACCAGGTAGCTAGAGCCACATTAGGAGCCACTCCAGCAGGAGAAGAAGCTGGAGCTCTAGGCCTGGGCGCTGATCCGGAGGCTGAGGGTCGTTAGTGTGTTTCTTCTCTTCTCCTTAACTGTTGTATGTTTTACACTTCCATACAAGTATGTAATGTATTCTGCTCACACTCCCTCTCTCTCATTCCTTTCTCACCTGCATACACTCCTGCTAACCCCATCCTCTTCGCAGGTGTCTCCTCCTCCTGTTTTGGCTTTCTTGGTTTGTTGTTGTATGGGAGGGGGGGTATTTAATTTTGTGATTTTGTGCAAGGCCTTTTGTGTCAGCCCCTCGAAGCTGACACAATACCTCTAATTTCCAAACAGTGAAATCCAATTCAGTATGAACTTGTTCTGACGTAAGCATCTGAGAGTTCCTCGCACCTAGCCAACACTCAAAATCCTTGTGATAACAACTGACTGACAGGTGTCATGGTCACCATTTTAGGTGACCAAGGATGTCCTGGGGAAATCCTTTTATGAGGAGGCAAGGATGTGGGGCTGAGGTGATGTGGAAGGAGGGCACCATGTTTCTGGGCCCTTCTGATGCTGGCCTAAGGGTCGTCATCGAGTCTCAGCTTCTGTTATGTCTGCCAGATGAGAGAGATTGGGGAAGTGGGGTAGCGGTGGGAAGAGAGCCCATTCCCTCATCTAGGCAGAGACCAATTTCAGTAATGTGAAGAGACGACGTTCAGTCTGGCGCCAGGGATTGTCAATGCTGTATGCTACACTGAGGGTGAAACCCAGGGCCTATGTGCGAGCGAGGCAAGCACTCTACCACTGAGTGACGGCCACAGCCTGCCCTTTACCTTTTATTTTGAGATAGGTTACCCAGCCTGGTCTTAAATTCAGTCTTCCTGCCTCTGCCTCTTTAAACAGCCCCACCCCCAACCCCCACCCTGTTCTTAAATTAAGAAAACCTGATACCTGTTAACCCTCCACCTACATAGGTTTCAGCAGGAGTAATATGTAACAAAGGAACCATAAGTCAAAGTATAGCCCACATCACTTATGAAATCTTGTACTGGGAAAGATACAGTGAATAGCTTCCCTTTCAATGTAATAGAAATAAGATGGCATTGGCATTGAAGTCTTCAGCTGAGCTTCAGTTAAAACCAGGCTTGTAGGCGTGACACAGTGGTTCAGACACCGGTTTTTAGGGCCGGCTTCCTCCACTGTTAACACCCCTGCCCCTTCAGTTCTTTCAGAAGACAGCACGCTGACCTGCATGCAGCATTATGAGGAAGTCCAGACCTCAGCCTCAGATCTGCTGGACTCCCAGGACAGCACGGGAAAGGCCAAGTGCCACCAGAGCCGGGAGCTGCCCAGGATCCCTCCTGAGAACACAGCGGACACGATGCTCACAGGCAGGGCTGCAGATGCAGAGTCGGGGCCCGGAGTGGAGGGGCCCTACGAGGTGCTCAAGGATAGCTCCTCCCAGGAGAACATGGTGGAGGACTGCCTGTATGAGACAGTGAAGGAAATCAAGGAGGCGGCAGACAAAGGGCAGAGTGGCAAGTCCAAGTCCACTTCCGCCTTGAAGGAGCTTCAAGGGGCCCAGGAGCAGGGCAAGGCCGACTTTGCCGAATACGCCTCTGTGGACAGAAACAAAAAGTGCCGCCACAGCACGAACGCAGAGAGCATTCTGGGAACGTCCAGTGACCTAGAAGAGGAAATCCCACCGCCTGTCCCAGTTAAACATCTGGATGAGAATGCCAACCTTCCAGAGAAGGGAGAGAGAGGGGCAGAAGAACAAGCTCCAGAAGGGACCAGTGGACACAGCAAGGTGGGCTTTGGTCATGATTAGGTTACCAGTCTGAGAAAGACATGTGTTTATATATAAATACTAGCATCAGCTGTGCTTGCATTGTCCACTGTCTAAGCTTTGACTAAAGATTTATGTTTATAAAACCTTTCTCTGCATCTCATTTAGATAGTTTCCAGATTTTATATTGTATATCTAATTAGATCAGTATTATTGCCTTCATTTGAAGACTAGGAACTAAATAACCAAGATTCTTTACCAAAAACCTTCTTCTTCGGGCAGCATGGTAACCTTGAGCCTTTCAGAATCCCACAACTCAAAGCACAGAGAGTCCGGATGTGCAGGGGTCTTTGCAATTTACTGTGTATATTTTCCTGTACACCAGCTAACGGGTTTTATTTTTTGCAAGTTCCTAAACAATATTTTAAATAATTTCTAAAATTTTAGTCATCAGAGGTCTAAACTGCATCAGTAGTCTGTAGCCTTCAGTGCATGTATCTTATGGAGTCTGAGCCACAGTGAGCCTCACATCTGGATGCTGACCAGATCGTCCTCACTGCCTGCACTGCTTCAGTCGGCTAGTGTCAGACTTCTAGTATCTACACAGAAGGATGCAGAATCATCTTCCAGCCAGAGCTTCCCCTGAGCCCTTCGCAGGGAAGACCAGCAGAGTCAGCGATAGCAGTACTGAGTAGGTAGCGTGGTATTAGAGAGCAGAAAAGGTCCCCATGTTGACACAGCTCAGGGCCGCTGGGGAATGACTGTCTAAGAGGGAAGGCTGGAACTGGATTCATACGGTTTAGAACCAGTAGCAGCAATGTGGTATTTAAACGTATAGGGTTGATGAGTGACTATTAGGACCAGGAGAGCCCCAGGAACAGGGCTCTGGGGGCGGGGGAATAGCAGGAGAGACCAGAAGAAAGGAAAAGCAAGGAAGGGGAGCAGGGTTGCTGAAGATTGGGTAAAGGAAATGTGGGAAGGAAGGGCTGACCTCAGGTCACACAGGACAAACCAACATGTGGCCATCCCATGGGACCGAGATGAAGAGTTCCTCAGTGAAAGGTAGACACTCAGCTGGAATGGATGCAAAGGATGTGTGAAGATGAGAGTTAGCTGAGGCTTTGTGGTACACCACAGTGAGGAGAGGACAGAGCCAGAAGTCCAGTTGAGCTTGTTTGAGCGCAGTGCATGGCTAGCAAGTTCACTCGTGGTGACCAAGAAAGGACCGAAGGACACTGGGGACAGGGCAGAGGCCAGAGGAATGTACTCGCCTTTATGTTTTCTCAGAGAATTCAGAAACAAGGCCATCAGCCCATGAGCACCAAGTAGATGGTCTGGGGAGGAAGCACAGGTAGAGAATGCCTTAAAGGAGTGAAGCGTCTCTGAGGGCCCACCTACTGCTAAGGCAGGACGGAGAGACAGCAGAAGAGGAACAAAGGGGGAGAGGAACTAAGTGTTGATGACTCATTGGAATTAAAGAGAGGAGACTAAGGAAAGCTGGCATGGTGAGGACAGAGGGACAGAGAGGGAGCTAAGGCCTGAGGCAGTGAAGGACTCTGGGAGATGGAGAAGCATCTGTCAGTGTGAGAGAGAGATGGTTTAGATGGATATGTTTTTGTTGGAATGAAAAATTAAGGTCAGAAATATGCTAAAAATAGTTAATAAACCAGGGCTCAAGTCACAGAAGAACCTGGCACCAAACTCACCGAGAAACAGGTCAAGGGTGTAAGAGCAGTGTGGTTCTTCCTGGAGATGCTCGCAAGCTGTCGGATGTAGATGCCGGCGTGCCATGGAGAACTGCTGATCAGCCCTTCCTTGGCGACACTTAGGAACCAAACACTAACGCATCAGAAGACCTCTGTATACCTGTGAAGCCACTGGGCACCCGAGGTCATAGGAGCAGCTGATGCAGGAGACACACAGCCTGCATCCTGTAGAAACCACTTGAAAGCATTTGTGAGGACAAATGTGGCTTCAAACTGCTTTACTTTGGTTTGCATTTTATTTTTTTGACAGAGATTCAGTTCCTTGTCCTACAAGTCTCGGGAAGAAGACCCAACTCTTACAGAAGAGGAGGTAAATTTCAATTCTTTTCAATAACCAAAAAAAGTCTGCTGGAAAATGTAGACCTCGCAGGCTGGAGAGATAGTTTAGCAATTGAGGGTATGTGCTGCACTTACACAGTTTAACTGCCAGAACCTAGCTGGGCTGGGCAGCTCACAACCAGCTGCCTCGCCAGCTCCAGGGGAATCTAGTGTCTCTGCTATCCACAGGAATCTGTACTCACATGCATGTGAAACTTTAAAAAGTTCAAAAACTAGAAGCTAAGTCTGTGATCCCAGTTGTCATAAATCCAATCTGGTGGCAAACAACTACACCTATCACATGGGAGATAGAAGATCAAGAGTTCAAGGCCAGCCCTAGTTGTATTAAGCTAGCCTGGGCTACCTAAGACTTAAAACTGAGGGTTGTCAGGGCAGGAGCTTAAAGGCAGGAACTGAAGCAGAGCCCATGGAGTACTATGTAAAGTCTACTGTCACCCGCCTAGGGGTGGTGCCATCCACCGAGGGCCAGCTCTCCCACACCAATCATTCATTTTAAAAATGGCCTCCAGGCTTATCTACAGACCAATCGTACAGAGGCCCCTTTTCAACTGAGTTTCTTTTCCTGTCAGATGATTCTACTTATATCAAGTTGAAACAAAACAAAACGACCTAGCCTGCACAGTCATGGTGATTCTCAAACATAGTCTCAGTGCCCACTTGGGAGGCTGGAGAATGTTTAGTTCAATGAAGCCTAGACTGCATAGCAAGACCCTGCCCACCACCCCTCCCCCCACAAAAGTTAGTGCTTCTTCCTGAGAATAACCATCCTGTGATTGTTTCCTGTGTTTGAAAGATGTGATAAGGCCTCAGGCCTGTGCTTGGATGTCAAGGCTGAGACGGTTGTCCATGGTGGACAGGTATGTGAGAGGCAGTGAACCTCAAAAATGGCAGCTATGTAGGTACGCAGAGTGAAGGACACTAGGCTGCAGAAAGGGCTGGCCCACATGAACAGGAGGAACACCTAGGGTAAGAAAAAGAAGAGGGAGTTTTGTTAACAGTTGGTCGGCTACCATAGAAGGAAATTAGAGGTAGGCTGGAAAATTCCACACATCCGAATGGGTGGGAGAAGGGAAATGTCTCCCTGAGGAATGCTGGTTGCCAGTCACCTCGAGAAAGGTGAATGGAACTAAGGCCAACATCATTTGAAGCAGCCAGTGAGAACCAATGGGGGATGTCCGAGAACCAGGGCACAATTTCAGGAGACTTTTAGTGACACCTTCTAAGTGCTGAAGCCACAATGATGGCACACAGTGTGCTAGGTTCAGGCAGAGCCCAGACACCTTCCCTGCCCTTGCTCACCTGGCTGGAGTGGAAGGCCCAGCATGGGCCCTGTGTCCCTGTGGAGACCACACACATAAGCAGGAGAGTTGCTCTGTACAGAGAACTCTTGAGTGCAGTGCAGGAAGATGAAGCATCTCTGAGTTCAAGGAATCCTTCCCTCAGAGGATACTACCCAATCCCCTGCATGCTCCTTCTCCCAAGGATAGGAACTTTCATCTACCTATTCCCTACTACACAAGGCAAAACCCGGGAGTCATCTGTGAGGCCTCTTTTACTTCACTATCCCTGGACAGCCAACTGCTGACCCTTCAGAGGCCTCCCAAGCTCCTCCCTCCCTCCCTCCCTCCCTCTCTCTCTCTCTCTCTCTCTCTCTCTCTCTCTCTCTCGCACTCTCCCTGGCTCATGCACTGCTTCCTACTGGGTCCTCTGTAATTCCATGACCCCCCCCACACTTGTCAGTGTTCGATAGCCACCAGAGCCCCATCTGGGCCCATGAGAACAGCACAAAACTTGGTCTATAGAGAGGTGATCAAATATGACTCATCTACAGGAAGGAAGACAGCTTAATTATTCTCTAGTAATGTACAACTCTTACAGGGGGTGAGGCATGTTCCTAAGTGCCAAGTGTGTAGCTTGTCACCAAGAAGGAGAGGAGGGAGTCCCAGCTTGCAGTGGCCTGTTCATGCCTCTCTGTTCCCTAGATCTCAGCAATGTATTCCTCAGTGAATAAACCTGGACAGTCGGCACACAAACCTGGACCATTTATGAAAGGGCCGGAATCTACCTGTCACTCCATGCAGGGCCCCCCTCAGAGGTCGTCATCTTCCTGTAATGACCTCTATGCCACTGTGAAAGACTTTGAGAAAACTCCCAACAGCATCAGCACACTGCCACCAGCAAGGAGGCCCAGTGAGGAACCAGAGCCTGACTACGAAGCCATACACACTCTAAACAGAGAAGATGAAAAGGTCCCTCTGGAGACCAATGGCCACCTTGTCCCCAAGGAGAATGACTACGAGAGCATCGGGGACTTGCAGCAATGCAGAGATGTCACCAGGCTCTAGCAGCTCCAAGAGGCTGTGACCGGCAGCTCCACTGTGGAGAGGAGGTGACGCAGTCTCACACTGTGTTGGTTAACTGAAATCAAGTGCAGGCTCACAACTGTTTCCCAGTTTCCGAAACAGTAAGGTATGGACCTGCCTGCCAGGGCAGCTACCCTCCAGGGGCCCCCAAGAAACCCACGGTACCCCTGACCTCCACACTCCACAGAGGAAGACAACTTCGGGCGGTGGCGGGGGGCCGGGGGAGGGGGAGCCCCACCCACCAAAGCTGAAATCCCACCTGCCTGGAATCCTGGCTGCTGTGGAAGAGCCCGGTTTCCTCCCTCGTTCTCCTTTCTTCTGCTGCTTGTGCTAAGACATGGCACTTCACCCCTAGAGACCTCCCTTGTGTGCTTCACCCAAGGACAGTCTCCCACCAGCCTGCACTGGAGAGAAACTGGTTCCCGTTAGCCCACCATCTTCCCAGACCCACCCTGTTAGTCCCTGGGAATCTGGATGTACAGGCTGAACAGTGTGGGCGGGCTGTCCCTGGAGTCCCTGGGGTCTCTGCTCCTCGTTGCAACACTGCATCTGCAGTCTTCACAAGGCACATGAGGCCAGTTTAGATATTTTTTAATGTTTTATGTTCAAAACCTTCCCAACAGTGTTTGACTTTTTCATAACTACTATGGTACTTCTGCAGTTGTTCAAACCCAGCGCTCTTCCTTCCAAACAGAGCCTTAATGTTTCTGTGTGGATGGCAGCCATGGTGTCTATTCCCAAAGGGCTGCGGACATAAATTTGTGTTTCCAGTGATCTTTGCTGCCCACACATGTAACTTTCCTGTAATCTGATGGAAATCTGAGTAAAATGTAAACATTTATTTTATTATATAAATTTATAAGATGTTTTATGTTTAATGCCTAATTTCTAGAAACTGTCAGAAAATATATATTAACTATTTGGATTTTATGTATAACGATTTATACTCTCATTTTTAAAAGATACCATAAAGCACATAAGCTAGATAATGATGAGCAGTTTTTATTCTTTTCTCTAACAAATAATATGACATTGAAGATTTGTTAAGGCTCAGCTTCTCAGATGCTACTGGGAGTTGTAGATCTAAAACCCTGAGACCACTGGTGGCAACATATAGTGGGCAGAAAGAACTGTGTCAATGCTGAAATACTCAGTGTTAAAAATAGAGCAAAATCTGACTCGGGAATTCTGAACTTCCTGAAAGTATCAGACTTTCACTGACATCTCGGGACCTCTGAGAACACCAGTGGTACTGTCCACTGTGCAGTATCTGCTGATGCAAACTGCATGGTTTTTCATTGCGTCTCAAAAATCAGTGGCTGAAGCAGCTCAGATTGAAGATTCGATAATCTCTCTAGATCTTCCAAGGACAGCCCTGGAACGAACCAGGGCTCGTTTTAAAAGGAGCCTAGCTGAAATGCAGGATAGAGAGAGAGGCCGTTGCCTCCTCCTGCTGGTGTGGCATCTTATTCTAATGACTTAATAGTCATGCTGGTTTCTCTCCCTGTGACAAAGAGAGCCTTGGTGGGAGAAGTGACCAGCTCTGTGGCCTGTCTTTCCATCCTTGTACTCACGAACTGGTTGTAGATCCCGCCTGTGGAGCTGTACACTCTCCTCGATGTTGGCATTAGCCGTATAATCCATGAGGACACCACGTGGATAAGCATAAACTCTGCTGGTCACTCGGGACAGTGGAGAGCAGGAAAGAGCAAGGCTTGTTGCAATCACTGATTTTTACTGTTGTGTTTTAATGAGTTTGGCCCAACCATCTCTCGGGCCTCGAGGGTCCCTTTATCATATGCCACTACCCATGCCACAGGGCACTCCTGGCCATGTGCTTGCCACCATGCAATTCCTTACAGGCACCATGGAGCTCAGGAGTTTATGTTTTATAAAGAGTCTTAGCAGAGAAGCTGGTGTCATCTCTAAAATATGAAACTCTCTGTTTAGAGATAAGTTCATTATAAATAATCATATCATCTTGAAATCCTGATGTCTGAATGTCCCCAGAGTTTCCTAATATGGTACATTACATAGTCATGAAATGTGTTCTGACATTCCTCTCCTGGCCCCAGAAGCTGTCCATGGTCAGAGTAAGTGTGACAGAGATCTAAAGGTGTTCTGTACGAGGAGCATGAAGGCCCTCTCTCCAACATACAGTCCAAAGGAATAAGCACTAGCTTGTGAGGCCTGGCAGAGAGGTGAGGGGCACAGCTCTGCTCAGCTGAGCTTTGGGTACATGGTTACTGTATTTCCTGGTGTGCGTGCGGTCATCTTTGCCTGATTCTCCAGGCTTCTGCTGGCTGTGAGCGTTTACTCTTTTACGTGGCTCACAGTCCGTGTCCCTGTCTTTGAGCTGGGCAGAGCCTGTAGTTTGGTTTAAAGTCCAAATGTTACAGAGTTTAAATGTGTGAAAAAACATTGTCAAAAGGAGGCCACACTGTACACATACACATCACCGCTGCGTCTACCGCATGCATCCAGTTATACCCTACTTACGTGAACTTATTCACAAAGATAAAAATAAATTACAAGGTTTCTTCTTTAAATCAGAATTATAGTTCCATCTAGATTAGAAGTAGTTATTTCTTTTTGCTTAAATACTTTTAAAAACTTGAAAGCACTGTATGCTGCTTCACATAACGGAAACCATGAGAAACCATAGACTATCTTATGTGAAATGTTTCCGAAATTCTAAAAGAAAGTCATTTTTATAAATGTGTTGGCTGCATATTTTTTGACGTATCCTTATCTAAATCACATCACTAAGTCTGCAAAACTTCTAAATTATACCTATATTCTTTGTGAGAAAAAGGTTACTGACTGTCCTACAGTAAATTCAACAGAATTGAACTCTCCCACAGTAAATTCTAATGTAAACTAGCAGTGTAGGCACCGAACACAGAGAACTAGCATTCCACCCAGCATGCTAGGTGCTTCCCTTCCTTGATCTTCACCTGTAGAGTTAGAGCATCCCTGCCTCACCAGCAGTGATCTGTATTTATACACACGTGTGTGGATGTCATGTGTGTATGAAGTGTTGCTGGCTCTGGCACGGCCCTGGCACTAACTAGGCTGTGTTCTATTACATATTTGGAAAGTTCATCCAACAAGTATGATGAACATACATTGTGTTGTAACAGTGGAATTAAAAGAACCCATCCTCCAGTTGTTTGATTTGGTAATTATGAGATGCCTTCTTGAGCTGGCTTCATTTACTTTTCCTAATGGATACCTTTAGCTTTCAAATTGTGTTCCTAATTCTCCCAGTTGAAAAACAATGCTGTCTGAAGTTGGCTTTGTCACACCGTGACTCAATGTGGACTCAGCAGAGAAGACTGTAACAGGTGTACTACATACTCAGTGTATGAAGGAAGAGACTCACCCAAAAGCAACAAAAGAGAAACCTCGAACCTGACTGGCAGGTGAGGTGGCCTCGCAGATATCACATGGGGGAACTATTTCATCCCTTGCTATACCCAAGCATCCCCAGCAGGAATAAGGATATACAAGGCCTGTCTTGTGACGATGCAGTGGCTGATACCAGGCTGAAGCAGGGTTTTGGAAATGGGACCATGACACTGATGTTGGTGCCCCTTTTGATGGCCTATGGGAATCCTCATGATCTGCGCGCCATTCTTCTGACTGTGTTGGTTTCTGGTACCCAGACAGCTTACGAGCTAGATGGCTGTAGGAATCGCAGTGTTATTGAGAAATATTTCCTGGGAGCTCTAAGAGATGTGTTATACTGTGCCAGGGACACTGAAAGTGGAATGTTTGCTGTCAGTGCCTGACCGATGTGAAGACAGGAGCGTGTGTCACAGTAAGGAATGTGGATCTATGTTTGTATAGCCATCTGCTTCCTCCTTCCTCCTTCCTCCTTCCTCCTTCCTCCTTCCTCCTTCC